CTGCCTGCCTGCCGACCCACACCTAACCATCCACCCACATCCTGCAACACAACCACCACGACCTACCAACCCACGACCCACGTCCTGGCTAGCCCTGTGGAGTGATGCTCCCCTCCATCCCCTCCTAATGAGATCAGCCCCAGCCCTCATAGATTATATTACTGCACCACTAAATTACATTACATCTCCATTTACGGACCTTAAGGAGCTCCAGGCACTGCTGGGGCTTCAACCTTGTCAGAGAGCAGAGACTCTGACCAGAGAGAGAGAGAGAGAGAAAGATGGAGGGAGGGGGAGAGAGGGAGAGAGAGGGATTGAGACTGTGAGAGATATGGGGGGAGTGCGTTTGAGAAGATAGAGTGGTGCATGGAGGACAGGGGGAAAGAGAAAATCGATAAGGCAGGAGAGCATTGATGAAGATTGAAGGCTGAAGAGAATAGGATAGAGGGAGGAAAACAGGGATGGATGGAGGGGGGAGCTGGGATTGCGGAGGAGCCTCGGGCGCGAGTGATGGCCATTGCTGAGAGCGTATTGACAGAAACTGCCTAGAGACAGGAGCGGAAATCCTAGAGGTGACCTGGACGAGCTGCAGTGCCTCCTGGGACATTTATGGGTCAGAACGGTCTGGGTCTGTCGGACAGACGAACGGATGGACCAACCGAAAGATGGGCGGATGGGTCAAAAATTCTAAAGAAACCAATGAAGTTTCTAATGCATCCTTTCTAACCCTTATATGCTATACACTACAGGTTTCTTTAGATAGAGAGAAATAATGGAAAAAAGAATACTAAATTCCCCATTTCACCAGAATGAGTGATTTCACAGAGCCGTTGGTCATTGATGGTGATGCATTCCCCTCTCTCAATAGTCCTCAGAATGATTCTAACTCTCATTTCACTCTCATATTACATCACAATAAAGCATGGCAGGGCTTAAGGCCAAACATTACTTACCAACTAATGCACCAGCCCCCGACCGGCCCAGACGCCTTATCACAATGCCCTGATGCAGTCTGTTGGTCCATAATACAACCGTTATTTGCAGGCAGCGCTCCTCAGATTGGGAAATAGGCTGAGGAATGGGTTTTAGCTGTGGCCTTACACGCACGTACACACACACACACACACATACACACAAGTTCCATCTGCACGCCGTCTTCCATAGAGGAACCTAATGAATATTTCCCTTTGAGTGAGAGCAGTAGGCAAAACAAACAGCAGCCTGGTTCTCTGGGAGAGGGATGAGAAGAGAAGGAGAAGCATGAGAAACACTGTTTGAGTGGAGACCACATTTTTGGCAACCCGCTCAACCTCCCCTCGCCTCCATCCCACTTCAATTCCCATATCGTTTCTGTCCAACATGGCAACCACTGATGGCAACATGCACCCTAGAGGGCTCAAGACGGAGGACTGTGACAGCACTCCCAAATCCCCCAAACACTCACATCCCTGCTTCCCCTGACTACCCACTCCACTACTCCTCAGACACCCTCCCCTCCGCTCCAGGGTGGCTGGTGAGTACATCAGGCCTCCCTGTGGACTTGCCTGGTTGATCAGATCAGATCAAAGGGCTCCGACGGGGGAGATTACCCAGGGAGGGAGCACTCCAGCCTGGGTTCCCGCCGGGCACAGATGCAGTGGCACACAGCGAGGCTGGAGGCCTGGGGCAGAGCATGGCTGGGAGGGAGGGAGGGAGGGAGGGAGGGAGGGAGGGAGGGAGGGGGGGGGGAGGATGGCAGAGCCGGGGAATCAGAGGGATGGGACAGGCCTTGGTGGTGCTGGAGGCATACAGAAGGCAAACCTTCTTCTTCATCAGAAGCCTTCAACATGGATGAAGCAGAGAGAGAGAGAGAGAGAGAGAGGAGAGAGAGAGAGAGAGAGAGAGAGAGAGAGAGAGAGAGAGAGAGAGAGAGAGGAGAGAGAGGAGAGAGGAGAGAGAGAGAGAGAGAGAGAGAGAACGGGTAGAGATAGGGAAAGAGAGAGGGGGGAGGAGGGTTGAGGGGGTGGAGGAGGGAGGGAGGGAGGTGATTTTGAAGAGGAGAGCCAAGCAATCTTTCCTGTCCTTTGAAGCCTGTCTTGTGGTGTCTCTCCGGGGACACACAGAAAGATTGGGTTTCTGCTGCTGGAATGTGTCAGTATTCTGAAGACTCTGTTTAAAGCCTTTGGACAAGGTGGGCAATGCTACCAGCTCTCACAGTCTCACGAGTTAATGTTAAGGTTTGGGATAGGCTTATAAACAAAAATATCAAAAAACAACTTTATATCGCTGGTTTGAACTTGCAAACTTTAGAATCAGAGGCAGATGATTACGCCCATCCGCCATCCCCGTCCACAACACCCTAGCTAAACAGAAACCTACTTGAAGGAAACAACGCTCACAGTTGCCCCTAGTGGCCAGTTTCCACATCATCTCCCGACGTCCTCAAACGTCAAATCCTGACTTGTATCACAGGTGACCAATTGGACACAACTACAATATGCTTGGCTTCTTGCTACTAAGAGAAAGCATCGTCCCTTCTCTTTCACACACACACACACAGACACACACACACACTTTTGATCAAACCAGACAGGTGACGACAGGTGGAAGCGCAGCAGCCAATCAGATCACAGCCCTGATGAGTGACCTTGCTGAGCTGCAGCTGATTGCACACACAAACACACACACACACACACACACACAAACACACACACACACCACACAACCCCACCCACCCCCCCACCCCAACGTCAAACAGCACACCACACACATACACACAACCACCATCACACACAACCCACACCAACACACACCCACTCACCAGCAGAACCCACTACCCACAAGCCAGTTATACAGCGCAGACACAGTACCTAGAAGACCCAGAGTTACAAGAACACGTCTACCCACAGACATCATACCAAAGGCTCTACACAGAGACCCAGTTAAGCCCGCAGCCAGTCTAAAGCAGTCATGACAGTTTACCAGTCTACCAGAGCAAAAAGTCTAACACAGCAGACACAGCAGATGAACCAGTCTACACAGCAGAACCAGTTACCCAGCAGACCCAGCAGACCCAGTCACACACAGTCACTACAACCCCCAGCACCCAGTCTACCCAGCAGACCCAGTCTACCAGACCCTTACACAAACAGACCAGTCTACCAGCACACCCAGCACCACACCCAGTCTACACAGCAGACCCAGTCTACCAGCAGACCAGTCTACACAGCAGACCAGTCACCAGTCACACCAGACAGCAATCCAGTTACACATCAGACCCAGTTACCTCTACCAGCAGACCCAGTTACCCAGCAGACACAGCAGACCCAGTCTACACCAGTCATACCCAGCAGGACCCAGTCTACACAGGTCTATAGGACCCGGTCTACCAGCAAGAACCAGTCTACCAGCAAGACCCAGTCTACACAGACAGTCTACCCAGCAGACCCAGTCTACCACAGCCAGTCCTACCCAGCAGACCAATCTACACAGCAGACCCGTCCCCAGAACCAGTCTACACAGCAGACCCAGCACTCAGCAACGCCAGGTCACCAGCTACCCAGTCAAAAGACCCAGCAGACCCATCTACCCAGCAGACCCAGCAGACCGCAGACCCAGTCTACCCACGCAGACCAGTCTACACAGCGACCTAGTTACCCAGCAGACCCAGTCTACACAGCAGACCCAGTCTACACAGCAGACCCAGTCTACCAGCAGACCCAGTCTACCCAGTCTACCAACAGGACCCAGTCTACCCAGCACACCCAGCAGACCCAGTCTACGCAGCAGACCCAGTCTACACAGCAGACCTAGTCTACACAGCAGATCCAGTTTACACAGCAGACCCAGTCTACCCAGTCTACCCAGAGAACCAGTCTACCCAGCAGACCAAGCAGACCCAGTCTACCCAGCAGACCCAGCAGACCCAGTCTACACAGCAGACCCGGTCTACCCAGCAGACCCAGTCTACCCAGCAGACCCAGTCAACAGACACCCAGCAGAACCAGTCTACCCAGAAAGACCCAGGACCCATCTACACAGCAGACCCAGCAGACCCAGTCTACACAGCAGACCCAGCCTACAAAGAACACCCAGCAGGTCCAGTCTACCCAGCAGACCCAGCAGACCCAATCTACACAGCAGACCCAGCAGACCCAGTCTACACAGCAGACCCAGCCTACACAGCAGACCTAGTCTACCCAGCAGACCCAGTCTACACAGCAGACCCAGTCTACACAGCAGACCCAGTCTAGCCAGCAGACCCAGTCTACCCAGCAGACCCAGTCTACACAGTAGACCCAGTCTAGCCAGCAGACCCAGTCTACCCAGTATATCCAGTCTACCCAGCAGACCCCCCCCACCCCCCCCCCCTCTACCCAGCAGACCCCCCCCCCTCTACCCAGCAGACCCAGTCTACCCAGTCTACCCAGCACACCCAGCAGACCCAGTCTACGCAGCAGACCCAGTCCACACAGCAGACCTAGTCTACACAGCAGATCCAGTTTACACAGCAGACCAAGTCTACACAGCAGAACCAGTCTACCCAGAGAACCAGTCTACCCAGCAGACCAAGCAGACCCAGCAGAACCAGTCTACCCAGCAGACCCAGTCTACCAGCACACCCAGCAGACCCAGTCTACACAGCAGACCTAGTCTACACACGACCAGTCCCAGCCACCCAGCAGACCAGTTACCAGACAACCAGACCCAGTCTACCGCACCACCAGCAGACCCACACAGCAGCCGACCCAGTCTACACAGCAGACCCAGTCCCACAGCAACC